CCAATAAATCGCTCCTAACATCCGACTGCTTTCTTCCATCAGACGGAATATTCTTGGTGTTGTGATTACGCTAGATCGTCCATCCTTGACCGCTACAACCCTAAGATGCCAGCCAGGTCGGGAGCGTCAATTGTGAGCCATTGGATCAGACCTGTGTATTGGTAACCGCTAAAAAAGGGTTTCTTCGAACACAGATGCTCCTCTGCCTAACTGGTTGGGGAAATATGTTGGGATTGCGCCCATTCCCACAATTACTCATCTTACAGAAGGGCCGCCGAGTGCAACTCACGCTGCTGTCATGAGAGCGCGCACCGTGGATATCGATTTTTCCTCATAGTTGATTGGTCCCCTGTCGCTCACGCCTGCTCATAGAGCGGACTGAATAAATACAGTGACTTGCTTGACTTGCACTGTGAGAATACACTCCCCCCCTGACTGATTGATCTTTCTTCTCTCGTGCGGACGTTCGGGGCAACAGCTGGGCCAGCTCAGAGTTCGTGCTAATTACAAATACCAGACGCGGGTCGTAACAGAATACTTATTGACCAAAATAAGATAATTACTTCTAGTAGAAATTGCGTACAAACGGTCAAATGGGTTAATCAAAAATAAACCCCGGGGAGCTAACTGCGATAACTGCATAAATACCTTATTTTTCAGTCTCCAGTCGGCTCCATGTTGCAGTAGAACTTTGGCAAGGTCAGCATGGTTTCTGTGAAAGGCACAGTGAATCAACGGTGTTTGGCCATATTTGTCCTGGTGATTAACGTTTGCTCCACACTCAAGCAAAGCTGCTCCAACGCGAGGATTTCCATTGTTTGCCAAGCAAGCTATCAATGCACATCAATTGACCAGTCATTCACACATGTTGCCAATACCACCAGTTAGTTAAAGAGAACACATGGAATTACCTAGTCTGATAAGAGGCGTGTACTGGTTATCACTGTCCACCTCGTCAATTAAAGCACCAGCTCGAACCAGAGTTCGCACAACGTTGCTGAATTCGCCATCGACTGCATAGAAAAGAGCAGTCATTCCGTGGATATCCTAGAATAGAATGAAGGGAAAGTGAGTTTCCAGCTCTAAGACAGAGCCTGATGGGTTTATCTGGCTCAGCATAAACTGAAAAGCACAGTGTCGGTTACAGTCTTTTGTCTCATGTGAACCTGCCATCTCCA